TGCAGCAGTTACATTTGGCGCCTAAGGCAGAATTTAAGGTGGAACGGGAAAATTAGAACGAGAAACTGGCGAATGAGAAGCGACTTCAGCCTCGTAAAACAGCCGGACGCTGAGACATTTTACAAGAAACTCTTCTAGTTTTGAAGAAAGGTTTCTGGCGGAGATGGGAGGAAAGCGGCTAAAGCTGAAGCTTAAAGCAGAGCGAAGTAAATCTGCGCTCTCCTTTATATTTTTAGCCCATACTAGGACATCAGCACAAACTGAGACATACTGGGCATTAAATGTTGTGGCTCCCAAGGTGGTTTGACTTTGTTGAAAGGACAAAATGGCTCTTCTTATCATTTGTGTTGTGACTCCTGACCTAACCTGGCTTTAACGCAGAGGGAGCCGGTCGGATTTCTCACTCATCCACTTGTGTTTTTTGTTATGTGTCCCACAGACTGTCCGGGCGCTGCACTTCCGCACTTCCAGTTCCGCCTTTTCACGTTCCGTCAACATTACGTTATAAATATTTAGAAAATTGATTTTTAACATTTGTGAATCGATTCAGAATCGTTCACGTCCGCATCGCGATGCATCTAAGAATCGAGTTTTTCCCGCACCCCTATTATTTACTCTCTGTCTGAAATGTTCTGTTAAGAGTTCCTGTGTCTTTAAAGGTTCTGCATACAATATTTTGAGCATAAATATACGAGCAACCACACACACACACACACACACACACACACACACACACACCTCCTATCCCAGAACTCACTGGGCAGAAGGCAGGATACACCCTGGACAGGTTGCCAGTCCATCACAGATATGAGCAACTATTTTCCATGTAAATACACAGTGGAGTAACAGTGTCCTGAGCAGAGAACGAAGTCGCACCTTTCTTCGCACCTTTCTTCGGACGCATGGGCATGTTGGTCCCACCCTGTGAAAATGTCGGCCCTCCCCACGTTTGGTTTTGCCCTCCTCAAGAGACAAAGACAGTGACCGCCCACACAGCACTGTGTGTGCAAGAGTGCAGCAGGACACGTTCAGGTAAAAGTGACCTTCCAAATGTTCCTCCACCGAATCTTCCTCAAGGTTGACGAGGTTGAAGTTGGCTTCCTATTCGCTTTTTCCTGTTCCACCTTAAATGGTGCAGCACTTCCATTCTGCACCTGAATGTTACTGCTGCACCATTTAAGGTGGAACCGGAAAATTCAAACAAGATACCGACTTTGGCTTCATCGAGAGTTGAACGGCATGAAAAGGGATGAGGAGGCTGCTCCGTTTCTGCTGGACAGGTGGGCAACATTAACTTGCTCTTGCTGTTTGACGGAACCGATAGGTCAGTGTTGTTTTATCCTGTTTGCAAATGTTTCTGATTGCAGCTGGTTAGCAACTGTAGTGACAGTTTGCTAACCCACAACGTAGCTAGCGTTAGCTACATCACTTGCTGTGTGGTTGTTCGCTCTAATGTTGTGATGGTATTTGTCTGTGTGTTTGCGAAGGGTTTTATGGCCACAAAGACCTAAAAAATAGCCCAGTATCGTTCACCCTGCCAAAGTGTGTCCATGAATTTGGGGGCGGAGCTTCTGAAGAAGCACAGAAAGGAGAGGTTTATTTGTTTTGTTGTTGAGTTCAAATATTAACAGTTGTTCTCCAGAATCATATAGTGCACATTTAAGCCCCGCCTCCAGATTGGTTGCCTCAGAGTCCAGTGTACTCTGACTGGTCAGCTCGCCCACTCTGTTCTGATAGGTCGACTTCCAGAGCGGTTCCGCCCCTCCGTGTTCCGCCCCTGTCCTGCAGACAGACCCTTCTCTCCTGAGCAGCTGTAAACTCCACTGTGGCTGTTTCTCCAGCGGCACCGGTTCTGCGTATCAGTTTGATCCAGAGTGGATCCTGAAAGTCCGGTCAGCGTCTCTCCACACGGCTACAGCACTGAACACACTCCTCCTCCTCCGGTAGCCGCTGTGTACTGTGTGAGGGTGTGCCGAGCTCTCCGGTAGGCGGGCAGTAAGGACTGTTTTACGAGATGATGTCATCTTGTTACAAATGAAAAGGGCTGGAATTCCAACGAGGCGTTTCAGGCAGCTGAGAAAAGTGGGTTCTGTTCTCTGGAGGGAACGCTGAGCTTTGCAGACTGTTAACATGTACAAAAAGCTACATAACACACTGAAATAAAGAGGAAAAGCATAACAGGCCCCCTTAATAATACCCAAACTTCACATGCTTGACTGTGAAGTAGGGGATGTTTTTCTGAAGCGACAGACTCTTAAAAAACAACGTGTGGCAGAAAAAAGATTTAGAGCAAAATCTCTCTCGGATGAAGACCCACCTCAACCATGGCGGCAAACTTATCACCATCTGGAGGAGTTTCTCTGAGCAACTTAGGAGAAAAACACGACAGAATTAAGTACAAAACACAGGAAACTGAGTCTGTAAACTCAGTAATACAGCACAGGTTTACATGTTAGGATGTATTTGCTAAACCAGAACGAAGTAGCATTATTGAGTGAAAACAGGCTAAAATACGGTGAGCATTTAAAAGTCAAGTTGGGCGTTTTTACATCACGTCTTACGGCTTTACGTATTCAAGTTCTTTAGTGAAGGAAGCGGTTCTCTAAAGAACCACGAACGATTGAAGATCATAACTGTGCATGATTCTGTATCGTGAAAGGGTTTTTCAGATTGATGGAGAAAGTGCTGTAACAACGTCAAGCTTGTAACAGTAGAAGAACCCTTTTGGGTGCTATATAGAACCCTGTTCAAAATACAGCACTCCATCAGTCTGAAGAACCCTTTCATGATGCAAAGAACCATTTAATCATGCAAAGGGTTCTTTGAGTGTTCGTGGTTCTATATAGAAGCCTTGAAGAACCTTCTTTCTGAAGAGTGGTGTAGCTTTAATTTGAGCCCGTCAGGTCAGTGATGTATTTATTTGGGAACCGTATGTAAAGGTACCAACCTGATAGACGAGTTTGGTGGTTTCCTCCATCCAGGCCGTCTGATCGTCATTGAGGACGCAGTTGGAGCTGCGAGACATGAGGAAGAGGAAAAGATCAGCTCAAGAAATCTGGATAAAACAGCCATTTTCTGTACCTAACTATACTTTTTTTAATATCATTATCCTGGTCAGTTCCGCCTCTGCAGCGACCCCCCTCTGGTTCAACTCTGCTATAGGCACGGATGACGCGTCTTTGTACCAAAGTACCACGACAGATCACACTATGCAAATCAGTCAAAGAACGTTAGCGCCCCCTGATGGCGCCCTACTCGTACCGCACTCATAAATATGAAACGCACAGGATTTAACATCAGGTTTTACATCAAGTGGATACATTCTTTGTTTAAATGTTGTGAAATCCGACAATAGAAACTTATTTCTTCAACAAAGTAATGTGACACATGACCACCGGATGGTCGGAAAAATGCAGCAATTCTAAAAAATGTATAATTAGGACAAAAATACTGATAAATGTCAACATTTTGATTATTTAAAACCACAGGTTATGCATTCAGTATAGCCAGGACAGCTGATATAGGACGAAACCTGAGATGCCTTTTTACACAACCCAACACCAATAAACAAACAAACAAACAAACAAACCCAACTCAACGTCATGTTTTGACGCACATATTAGCACAGGACTTTTACTGCAGTCTGCGTTTCTGAACCTGCATTTAATCCAGCCTCACCTTTTGAACTTGACCTGCCCCCTCAGGTACTGGAACAGGATGAGGTACTGCAGCAGGATGTGGCGTCTGAAGTTACTGTCACTCAGCTGAAGATCCATCAGCTAAACAAACAGAGCACGGTTCAGGTGGCAGAGGTCGAAATACCGAAGAATCAAACAAAACAGCCGTTCGTTCACTGGGATAAGACGTAAACAGAGTCGCTCAGAGTGGTTTGGTGTGAAACGCTCTGTTCTAGAGAAACTTACTGAGTCAGAACTGTTCACAGTGGTGGTGATAGGAACCAGACGTCCACCTCTAAAAGCTCCCTCACAGAAAGCGATTTTGGCCTTAACTCCATTCATGGTGGAGGGATACATAACATGCAGGGTGCCGTAAGGCTAAACAGCCCCCAAAGAAAACTGATTATTCCAGATTTTCCACTATTTTCCATCATCAACATTCCATATAGACTCAGAAGACTCGTGTAGGTTCACTGGTGGTTCTGGATAGTAAATAAAATGTCTATATTTGTGCTGTAGTCATGGCGACCCCTGGTTCCTATCACCACCACTGTAAAGACATCTGAACCATTTCACACCAAACCACTCTGAATCTCTCTGTTTACATTTTAAACACTGAGTTATGGAGGAATTTTGAAAATATTATTTAAAAATACAAGGCAAGAAAAACGCAGAACATTGCTGTATTGTATTACTAATATAAGTAAATGTGACGGAGGCTCAAAGCTCGCTCTCTCTCTCTCTGTCCTGAGTGAAGGGTGATCGGCGCGAACCTTCTCGCTGGTGAGGAACTTGGCGAAGTAGACGTGTTCTCCTCCGGCCGTCCTCATCTCCTCCAGCTTCCTCTTAGAGGCCTGAGTGTCATCCAGTTTATAGCTCTTAAACACAGCTAGAGTCTCATCAGAGTACTGCAGAGAGAGAGAGAGAGAGAGAGAGAGAGAGAGAGAGAGAGAGAGAGAGACAGAGAGACAGAGAGACAGAGAGAGAGAGAGAGAGGAATTAGACATTAAGCTCTGATTCAACACCACTTATATTTACAATAAATTACCTTTTTTATGTGTTCATTAATAAATGTTATGTAAGAGTTTTGTATGTGTATAAACTATCAAAACCACATGTGTGTCTGGGTCATTCGACAGAAACGTCCATTTCTGTCCCCTAGCATTGACAGATATATTACACTTCAAAAACATGTTAGGGTTACAATTTATTTATATTTTATAATAAAACAATAAGTTATTTTAACAATTACACCTTCTTGAGCCTCAATTTAGCAACATTGATTTATAAATCAATTATCTAGAACTCCAAGCACCACAGAAGAGCTCGTCCCCACAGTCATGTGTGAAGGCTGAGGCCATATTCTGAAGAAATATGAAGAAAGAACCCCCACATTTTTCTGCAATTTTAACTACAATAATCTGTACATGACTATGAAAATATAAAATTAAATGACAAAGAAAACAAATGTCAAATAAATATAATAAAATATATAATGAAAGTTCCCCAGGAGTCGTGTCACTGGTGTTACTGCGTAACTAAAAATCTCTTATTTTGAAATAAAAGTCACACTGATGACATCACTTGACTTCCTTTTGCTATTTTCTGAGGATCTATGAAGAAAAGCTCATGGTGAGTCCACTGTGTCTTTCAGTTATCAGAGATTTTCTCATTTAGCTCATGATTTCATATGAAGCTTTTAGCTGAAGTCACTGGTGTGACCCACTTTATTCTGAGGTAACTGTGAAAAACAGAATACAAATGGATTAAATTCCACATTACAACATGTGGTTTGATGCTCTGTAGCAGTCATTTTGTAAAATGCATTGTTCATTAAAATGTCTCTGGTGTTTCCTTTACTATGTGTAACACCAATGAGGATCAGTAACACCAGTGACTCATATGGAGAGACAGAAAAGTGGACGTTTCTGTAGAATGACTGTACTGAAAGTTATTTATGGGTTTTAATGATGAGTTTACAGAGCTAAACAGCCTTTTACAGGCTTTGAATACTTGTTGGTATTTCCTGAATATTCTTCCTCAGAATCTCCCTTAAAAACAACTGCTTACTTTTCATAATGAGCCATAATGTTCTGCAGGTCAGAATATCACCAGCAGGCGGCGCGTTGCAGACAGAACCCTCTTGTTTAACAATTTAACGATATACATAAATATACACACACATTAAACCACTTATCTAGTCACCAACAGTAAGAGAATTAGAATTCTTGCTTTATTTATCAGTTTTAGCTTGTTTTATTTGTCTCGTTCACCGTTTGATGGAAAGCGGCAGCGCGAGGCTGAGCTCAGCTCAGTCTTAGTGGAGCTACAGACAGTGGAGCTCAGAGCTGAGGAGCTTTTGGAGCTGCAGTCCCGTCTGAACACGAGGAGGGGAACCTTGGAAGGAGCTCGGCTGCTCATACACAGAGCTTCTGTTTTAATGGCCGCTGCTGATAAAATACTAGAAAGAGAAACGAGTAGAAAGGCTGGACCCGAATATTCGCCTCTCTTATTCGTTTGTTATGTAGGTATTTTTAATTTCGGGATTCAGATTTTTTTTTTTTTTGTTCGTTCTCTAAGTATTGAATGGTTCTATATGGAACCATGAACACTCATAGAACCCTCAGCATGATTAAAAGGACGTTTGCATCGTGAAAGCATTCTTCAGATTGATGGAGAACGTGCTCTGGATGGTTCTATACAGAACCTTTTTGAAAAAGCCTTTTTGGTGCTGTATAGACCCATCTACAGCACATTCTCCATCAATTTGAAGAACCATTTCACCACGCAAAGAACAGTTTAATCATGCAAGGGGTTCTTTGAGAGTCCATGGTACTTCATAGAATCATTTTCTTTACCCAACAACCTTTGAAGAACCATATTTTAAGAGCGAAAACTACTGTAACGTTCGGGGTTCCCTGGAGAAACTCAGACGACCTGAGGTTACGAACACGGCGAGAAACACAGCCCCCTGCTCTACTGCGGAAAAACCCACCAGTCCACCCGCATTCAGACTCTTCAACATAAAAGTCCTGGTAGGAACGAACCTAAAACGGTTACAATGTGGAAATACTGACCATCTCCGCTCGGGCGCCTGACATCCCGCTCTCACAGCAGTGAACGTCACGCTAACGTGGCGCTGGACAGCTTGTATTCCCAGTGTGGCAGCAAACAGCGCCCTGCCGTACTGGACCCTTACTAGGGCTGCGATGTTGCCCTTCGTACCTCGAGTTAGACCACCTTCACAAAGCTCTGGTCAACCTGTGCGTGCACTGCGGCATTACCCTTCCAGCCTACTGCTAAAAGAGGTTAGCGGGCCTGGTAGACGGGGCGAGGCAGTGCTATGAGCGCCACAGTGACCGGCAAGGAAAGCAGCTAGCCTGGAGATTCCTGATGAAGCCGCGGATGTGCTTTCAACACGGGCAGCAGACATGAATCCCCCACGGGGAGAAGATTCGTTGTTGATTACTGCTGACGATCCAGAGCCCAAAAAGGTAATCAGGACAGCCCTGACAAATACCAACCTAACAAACACACTACAGTGTTCAGGGGTGCAGGTGGGGTGCAGGTGGGGTGCAGGTGAGCACAGGTCATCGTATTCCTACCTTAACGAAGGTGATCCAGGAGAACTTATCGTAACACTGCACAGGGTTTCTGAAATAATCCTGCAGCGTCCAGAACTTCCTGTACAGGTTATAGTCTATCGGAATGGAACTAGAAGACAAAACAGGCATTTAATGTCCACTGTTCACTGACCGGACTGTGAAATGTGGAATAAAACAGACATTTTCTGATCCAGGCTCCGCCCACAAATGTGTTCTTTCATAGCTACCGTTGTGAGCTAGCAAAAAACTCCTATTCAGCCTAATGAGAAACTGTAGAACAGACTCAGTTTATATCACAATACCTACATTTAGAGTCGGTTATTCATTCAGCCTAATGAGAAACTGTAGAACAGACTCAGTTTATACCACAATACCTACATTTAGAGTCAGTTATTCATTCAGCCTAATGAGAAACTGTAGAACAGACTCAGTTTATATCACAATACCTACATTTAGAGTCGGTTATTCATTCAGCCTAATGAGAAACTGTAGAACAGACTTAGTTTATATCACAATACCTACATTTAGAGTCGGTTATTCATTCAGCCTAATGAGAAACTGTAGAACAGACTCGGTTTATATCACAATACCTACATTTAGAGTCGGTTATTCATTCAGCCTAATGAGAAACTGTAGAACAGACTCGGTTTATATCACAATACCTACATTTAGAGTCGGTTATTCATTCAGCCTAATGAGAAACTGTAGAACAGACTCAGTTTATATCACAATACCTACATTTAGAGTCGGTTATTCATTCAGCCTAATGAGAAACTCTGAAAGTACTGGGCTGAATGGGAGTTTCTGCCGGGGTTCTGTAAAGCTATTAATCCAGCAACAGCTGCTATGAAAGAAGACATTTGTGGGCAGAGCAGAGACACGTCAACCGGAATGGAACTAGGAGTCCACACATATTTGATGTTAATTATTCATAATTTATGATGCAGTGCTGTGAAAATATAACAAAACATGAGGCAGATTTTCTCACCATGGAGCCGGAGCTTCTTCATCGCCCATTTCTCCTTCCTCCACCTCCATCCCATCCTCCTTCACCTCAGTGCTCTGTGATAAACAGACACAGACACGAACACAGAAAACTTCATCAGTACCAGCATTCGTGAATTCGTTTAATGAAAACAATGAAAAAATTCTTTGTTAATGAAGTGATCACTGATGGCAGAGAGTGTTTCTAACACGGAGGTTCCATTTTGGCAGTGCACCCAGGTATATTTTGACATAATTAATGGAAAACAATAAAAAGTTTGGCCTTTTCTAAATCGATTTGGAAAAAAAAACGAAACTGAACACTCTGACACCACTGTAGCTTTCATTTTAAATGTGTTTAACCCTTTTTTCGCCAGTAATTAGGATTTTTACACTTTAATAAATCACAGAACAAACTAGACGAAGGTCCAGTCCCATTTCTTATTTTCTCCCCTACCCCTTGTTTTTGAGCCTGACCTTGCCCCTAAAAATTCCAGTGTCCTTGGACCCCTGACAAAGGCAGAAGCAGATGTACTTTAGTTTGTGTGCTGGGTGTACAAACGAGAGCAGGTACCTGCTGTCCGAACGTGCTCTCCTGTTCGTTCTTGTTGAACACTGTGATGTTGTCCAGGTTAAACTGACTCTGCAGATTCAAACCTGAAAGAGAAACAGAAAGTCAGACAAAATCAGGCAAAGAGAAAACAGCCATCTTCAGCCAAGGCCCCACACTCACTACAGCTCACGGGTACAGCAGCAAGAAACAGTTACTTCCAGAATCAATTCATCCACTATTTAACCTTTGAAGGCAGACGGGAAAAAAGAAGCCATTTCCACCTTTTCCCCCGTTAATGACTTCTAAATGCTGCTGTTGTATTTATTTGATGTGTAAAGAACGTGAGCTAAAAACCAATTCTGAGAATTTTATTGTTTTTCTCTCAAACTACCATTTCAAACGAGAAAATGCACGAATATAAGTTTTACTCAAAAAATAACCTTCTTAACCAGTTAATTAGTCAATTAATTAACTGAACTGAACCAGTAATTTGACTGAGTGACCCTTATTAGTCCCACAATGGGGAAATTTCACCTCCGCATTTGACCCATCCATGCAGTGAAACACCACATACACACTAGTGAACACACACACTAAGGGACAGTGAGCACACTTGGGCAGCCCTATCCACGGCACCCGGGGAGCAGTTGGGGGTTAGGTGCTCAAGGGCACTTGAGTCACGTACTGTCGGCTCAGGGGATCAAACCAGTGACCTTCTGGTCACAGGGCTGGTTCCCTAACCTCCAGCCCATGATGCCCCTACATATAATATACAAATGTAATATGAAATATAAATAAAAACAAAACTATTTATGCAGCAAGCAGTTTCTTATTTCATAGTGCAGCCACCATAATCTGTATTTTCAGTCGCCGTATTCAGTATTACTGCACCAGAAAAAGGTTCGAGAAGGTTCCACACCAGGGGTCGGCAACAAGGCTCTTTTCCTGCTCTGTTGCGGCTCCACAACAGAATTAGATTTTTAGGTAAAAATAAAATAATCCTCCTTTACAGTAAAGTAAGGCTCGCCTAGCTAGCAGCTAACGAAAAGACAAAGAGAGAGATTTAAGATGAACATCGATAATTTGGAGATGAATGGACTTATTAGTGTTTATAATCAATCCAGCTGGTTTCCTGATATGTTTAATCTGCAAAGAGAAACTGACAAACACTAAAAAGTCGCGAGGCTGAAGTCGCTTCTCATTCGCCAGCTTCTTGTTCGAATTTTCCCGTTCCACCTTAAATGGTGCCTGAGACGCCAGCATGTAACTGCTGCACCATTTAAGGTGAAACAGGAAAGTCCGAACATGAGGCTGGCGAATGAGAAGCGACTTCAGCCTCGTAAAAAATCGAACGTTGGAGAAATTTTTCAGAAACTGTTCTACTTTTGAGGAAAAGTTTCCTGCTGGAGATGCGAGAAAAGCAGCTATAGCTGAGCTAAAGTTTAAGCAGAGCAGAGTAAGTCTGAGTTTTTGTTCACATTTTTTATTCTATACTAGTACATCAGCACATACTGAGACATATTTACAGCCAAGATGGTAAAACATTACTTCTATAAATGGATATAAAATGTGGCTCCCGAGGTGGACTGACTTCTGTTGAAGGAACAAAATGGCTCTTCTTAACTTTTGGGTTGGGACCCCTGTTCTAGACTCTTTTGCGCTGATAACAGAAAATAAGTGAAAACTTCTTTCAAACATTTAATAACTGACTGCTATGTTTGATGTTGTGTACATAGAGTTTATTTAATTTGTAGATGAAAAGAATATTTCTGCAGATTATAATAACTGATCCATTACTGAAAGATCAAATACAGACAGAACCGGCTCTGCGCTTCCCCAGCGTGGCTGCAGTGCAGCTGCCTTTAGGGAGTTACCTGATTTCTCAGACAGGGGGAAGAGCCGGGCGAGGAACAGCTGGATCCTCCCGCAGAACACCGTATTCTGGGATTTAGACAGTCTTCGGAGGAGATCTGAGGAGCAGAACAGGACAAATCAGCCTGCTACACCCTTAAAAAGAGGGTTCTTTAGTATATAGAACCATCGACACTCAAAGAACCCTTTACATGATTAAAGGCTTTTTTTGCATCATGAAAGGTTTCTATGTTGTTATGGTTCTATATAGCACCAAAAAGGGTCCTTTTATTATGTATACTCTTAAAACAAGGGTTCTTTAGTAAAAGGAATGGTTCTATTTATACCCATGAGTTCTATTAAGAACCATTTCATGCTTGAAATGTTCATAGGCATCATGAAAAGGTTCTTCAGATTGATGGAGAATATGCTGTAGATAATTCTACATAGAACCATTTTGAAAATGGTTCCATATACCATCGAAAAAGGTTCTGCTGTTGGTTCGAGGTCAAACTGGCAGCAATACAAGGACTCTTTCTGGCGCTATATAGAACCATTTTCAAAAGGTTCCATACAGAACCATATACAACACATTATTCAATCTGAAGAACCCTTTTACGATGCAAAGAAGCCTTTAATCATGCAAAGGATTCTTTGAGTGTTCATGGCTCTATGCAGAACCGTTCCTTACTAAAGAACCCTAGACTGTTTTTTTTGTTTTTTTTAAGAGTGTACGATGTCAGGCCTGTAGCAACAGAAGAACCCTTTTTGGTACTATACAAATACTTCAAAAAGGTTCTGTGTGTCATCTATACACATCGATATAATCTACTGCACATTCTCCATCAATCTAAAGAACCATTCCTTGATGCACAGAACCCTTTAAATCACGCAAAGGGTTCACTGAGTGTTCATGGTTCTAACAGAACCACTTTCTTTACTAAAGAACCCTGTAGGAGTGCAGTCTTCCAGAAAATGGCAAAGGTTTGGCAAACTGTGTGTCTGAACCATCGTATACTCGACTCAGACTGTGCTGAGATGTTCATTAGTCTCTAAGAGTCTTGATTATGAGGTTTCCGACATCGTCTGACTCGGTTATCTACAAACATGGACCGAATCAGGGTCAGAGTTCAGGCCTCTGCTGTGGTTTTTATCCTTGTTATATACATTTGTCCATTTTCATGGCATACAGTGTCATAAACAACATAATCAAGCGTAACACCAAACACATCCCGGCTGACTGAGTATATTTTGGCCAAATCACAGCTTTAAGGAAGACATTTCACACACACTGATCAGGCATAACATTCTGACCACCGCCTTGTTTCTACGCTCATTGTCCATTTTATCAGCTCCACTTACTATATAGGTGCACTTTGTAGCTCTACAGTTACAGACTGTAGTCCATCTGTTTCTCTGATACTTTGTTAGCCCCCTTTTACCTTGTTCTTCAGTGGTCAGGACCCCCATGGACCCTCACAGAGCAGGTACTATTTGGGTGGTGGATCATTCTCAGCACTGCAGTAACACTGACGTGGTGGTGGTGTGTTAGTGTGTGTTGTGCTGGTCTGAGTGGATCAGACACAGCAGTGCTGCTGGAGTTTGTAACAGTCTGTGACTGTAGAGCTACAAAGTGCACCTATATAGTAAGTGGAGCTGATAAAATGGACAATAAGCGTAGAAACAAGGAGGTGGTCAGAATGTTATGCCTGATCGGTGTATAAACGCTCCTACATGCAGTGTTTGAATTCTAGAGAACATAAACTGATGATGGAGCTCTTACCGTTACACATCCTCAACAGGTAGTTCTTCCCAGCCGAGTAGAAGGAATTCTGTTGAAATGAGAACAAATGAGCATCTTAGTAAAAATACACAACACTGATCAGCCAGTAGAGCAAGTTAACTTGAGATTATTTTCCAAAATTAAAGGTCCAGTTTTGTTATTTTGGGCCAAGAACAGCAGAAAGACCCACTGGAGGTCTGAACGCTGAGTGGGCCAGACTGGGCTCTGTGTTAAAAGGTTACATTTCTCCACTCAAAACTTAACACAGTGATGTGGTGAAGTCAGGCTACAGTCAGAACTGCTGCTGTTACAGTCTGGAAAAACTGAAATTTCAATTTAAACACAAACAATAAGTCTTTCAGCCGTAAACATGCTGATTAGCAACAAGCGTGGTTTTATAAAACAGGCAGTTCTGAACTCACAGATTTCCACGTGGAAACGTTCTCCTCCACAAACGAGAAGATCTTATCACACTGGTCCAGCGGGAGGCAGTCCAGGACATCGCCGAGCAACACGAACGGGGTGGTGGCTGAGCAGATGCCTGCAGAGATTAGGCTGATGATTTAGTATTCATACGAGGAGAAAGATGAAGGAGGACGAACCCTGATCTGAACGTCCTCGGGTCCAGCGGACGCAATAAAGGCCGCTGCAGGTCGTCTACCTTCATTAGGAGAATCTACAGCTAAACAGAGGAAACTCCCAGAGTTCACTGTAAAAGCCTCAGTGAGTCATGCTGTGCTGTGAGCTCTGTGTCTCTCACCCTCAGTGACTCCATCGATGCTGACGTAGATCAGAGAGAGATGATCGTCCACGTCTGCGTGTTTGACCTGTAAGACAGAGGAGCCGTTAGTCCACCGTGTGAGCGGCCTGCAGTGACCCATAGACCGGCCGGTGTGTGATGGATGGAGAGGAACTCACGATCTGCTCCACCAGGACGCCCCGCAGAGCCTGGTCCAGCGTGCTCTTCTTCTCCGTCTCACTGACAAACACACAGAGTTCACATCACCGTGAGAGGGGCATTACAGAGCGGCCCACCGCACGCACGCCGCAGCACAGAGCGGCCCACCGCACGCACGCCGCAACACAGAGCGGCCCACCGTACGCACACCGCATCACAGAGCGGTCCACTGCGATGCAGCTTGTGTGCAGTGAGCGGCTCTGTAATGCGGTGTGTGTGCAGTGAGCGGGGGGTGGGTGTGTGTGTGTGTACAGTGGGCCACACAGCGTGTGTGCAGTGAGCGGCTCTGTGATGCGGCGTGGCACTGCACACACACACACACACACACCGCGTTCCAGAGCCGCTCACTGCACACATACATACCGCATCACAGAGCTGCCCACTGCACACACACCGCATCACAGAGCTGACCATCCACACACTGCATCAGAGCTGCCCACTACACACACACTGCGTCACAGAGCTGACCACATATACACACACAGTACAACGCAGAGTTACCCACTGCGTTACACACACACACACACACACACACACACACACACACACACACATACAGAGAGCATCACAGAGCAGCTCACTGCACACAGAGCTGACCATCCACACAGCCCAACACTAACTCGCAGGACTCACTTTCCGGGGAGGTGGGTGAACACGCTGGTCAGAGGTTTGCAGCTCCTGGACGACAGAGCAGTTTTAGTAGCAGCCTGTAAAAAACAGAACAGGAGAACCAAGAAGGAGCTTCAACGTCTGATTCTCACTCAGACTGACCTGCTCCACCTTAAACAGCAGCACTTACACTCGTCAGAGAGAGAGACAGGCAGAATGGTATACAAATAGAATCACAAACAGACAGGTACACAGATAGACAGACAGACAGATAATTAAATATACGCACTGATATGCAGATAGACAGACAGACAGACAAATATGTAGGTAGATAGACAGACAGACAGACAGAGTCAGACACAAACAGGCAGAGCGATTAACAGCTAATTAAGCACATAAATAAGCTTCTGCTTCTTATTGGAACTCTCCCGGTCCACCTTAAACGGTGCAGCAGGTCCATTCAAACGCCTGGAGGCGCCGACAGGCAGACAGAGTAACTGCGGCTTCTTTTAAGGTGGACCGGGAGAGTTCGCAGGAGAAGCCGGTCTGAGCCTCACAGTGCGGGGCGGGTGTTTACAGCACTGCAGCTAAACGGACAGAAACACAGGAGAAAGACGGAGAAACGGAGGAAACACAGATCAGATCTCAGCCGGTCTGATCTCCTCACAGACACAGAGGAGGATCCACAGACGGCGCCTCCACCCGCCGAGCTCCTCCGCCGCTGGGTCAGGAGTGAAGAGGAGTGAAGAGGAGTAAAGAGGAGTAAAGAGGAGTGAGGAGGAGTGAGGAGGAGTGAAGGCTGTTTACCGTGAACTTCTCTCTGCTCTCCACCAGGTTAAACACGCCCGGAGACATCTTAGCTCCTCCACTCTGCCTGACCGCGCTTCTGCTTCCGGGTCATATCACTGCCCGCCATGAGCCGGACCCACCGGCAGGGGGCGACACACACCATCACAATACATCACAATAACACAGCACACACTCACACACACATAAACACACCATCACAATACATCACAATAACACAACACACACACTCACACACACACACACACACTCACACACACACACACCATCACAATAACACACACACACTCACACACACACATCACAATACATCACAATAACACACACACACTCACACACAGACACAACATCACAATACATCACAATAACACACACACACTCACACACACACACATCACAATACATCCCAGTAACACACTCACACACACACTCACACACACACCATCACAATACATCACAGTAACACAACACACACACTCACACACATCACAATAAAACACACTCACACACATACACTATCACAATAACACAGCACAACACACACACACATTACAATAACACACAACTTCAACAATTTCAATAATAATGCGACACTAGAATCTCAATAAAATAAATAAATGAATAAATAAATAAAGTAGTTTTGCTGGGATAAACAAACAAAATAGTAAATACATCATTAAATATTAAAAAATAATGAAATGCTAGAGGTTAAATAAATAAACAAATAAATAAATGAAATTAGTTTAGTTAATCATTGACATATATTTAGAAATATAACATAAACAACACAATAAATAAATAAATAAATAAATAAATAAATAAATAAATAAATAAAATTTTATTTCCCAAGTAAACAAAAACACAGCTGGGGCAAAAACAAAAATATTTAAAAATACGGTTAATAATGATACATGAGGAGCTAAACAAACATAAATAAACAGTCTAAGTAAAAAAAAAGGAATAAAGATAAAGGTAACAAAATAAATAAATGAATAAACAAATATGATCAATAATAATAAGAATGTAGAAAGGGTTCAAACAACAAACAAACAAACAGATACATACATACATTAAATACAACAACATCAACAACAACAACAATAATAATAATAATAATAATAATAATAATAATAATAACAGTTTTAAATAAGTAAGTTAGGAAGCAAAAACAACCTGCAGGTTTCTTTAATCATTTTTAAACCCTGAAAATGTAATAAGTAGTTTTTATATTTTTGGTGAGGTGTCTCTTTAATGTCTGTGCTGATAAAAGCTTTTGTCCTGAGTCTGAAAGGCTGGAACTTCAGAGCGGAGTGGTCAGATTGCTGACCACATGACAGACATTAGAGCGTCCGATCAGAAACAGACCGTCTTTAAATGGACTGTATGGGAAGCTACTGTGTTTCATTCAACTCAGATCAGGTTTACAGGAATAAACCGTTATTCAAAAAGCAGAGAGACTACAGTCCACTCACTTTAAGACTGTATGTAAATGAGCTCTGTTCTGATTGGCTGCTGTTTATCATGTCCCTATTCACTTTAAGACCGATGTATGCAAATGATCTTTGTTCTGCCTCATTTACTTGACTGATGTACGCAAATAAGCTCTCTTCTGATCGGCTGCCCTCTATCTTTCCTCATTTATGTATGTAAATGAGCTCTGTTTTGATTGGCTGCCCTCTATCATGTCACTGTTCACTTTAAGACTGATGTATGCAAATGAGCTCTCTTCCGATTGGCTGCCCTCTATCTTTCATCATGTAAGTATATAAATGAGCTCTGTTCTGATTGGCTGCCCTCTATCTTTCCTCATTTAACTATATAAATGAGCTCTGTTCTGATTGGCTGCCCTCTATCTTTCCTCATTTAACTATATAAATGAGCTCTGTTCCGATTGGCTGCCCTCTATCTTTCATCATGTAAGTATATAAATGAGCTCTGTTCTGATTGGCTGCCCTCTATCTTTCCTCATTTACTTTAAGACTGATATATGTAAATGAGCTCTCTTCTGAATGGCTGCCCTCTATTTTTCCTCATTTATGTAAGTAAATGAGCTCTGTTTTGATTGCCTGCCCTCAATCATGTCCCTATTCACTTTAAGACTGATGTATGCAAATGAGCTCTGTTCTGATTGGCTGTGTCTCATGAAAAAAAAGCAATCAGGGCTGAAACATATAACTTCAGTGTGAGTGGGCGGGGATAAACACTGTAAGCTGAATAGACATATATATGTAAATTAGTTCGTTATTGACAACCGTGTTTATATGTTACACCAAACTCTTACTTTAAAAACCTGGTCAGGGGCCCTTTAAAGAAAAATGAACCAACAATACAAAATGAATAAATGCTGCTTACATTCTTCACAAAATCAATGTGCTAAACGTTTGTTTTGCTGCTTGTTTTCTACATACAGCACTTTATTTATTTGATCTCCATTCAAAAGGCTATTCAGTAGTTACTCATTTTTCAGGAGGTGTTTCTGAGGAGATGTAAGATAATCCACTTGCATAAGAAAGGAGAAAGTCAAAGGAAAATATGTGAATGAGGAGTTTCCAACACTGGAGTTCAAAACCTAATTAAAAGCTACAGAGAAAATGTGTCTCCTAACAACCACCTGGAAGAGCTGGTAGACCCCAAAACTGCCCCCATCAGATAAACAGCACTTAAAGCTTTCATCTCTGAGAGAGAGGAGAAAATCAAGCTGCTTCAGATCTGAAAACATCCACAGGTGTTTCTGTCCATCCTTCCACTGTGAGAAGACGACTCAGCGCTGTGGGTCTGAAAGGATGTGTAGCTGATCAAGAAGAACCTCACTGAGAAAAGGAGACGGACACAGAAAATCATCAACCAGCTTCTAAGACTGAACTTGAATGGCTTTTTTCACTGCCAATCAAATAAATGAAGGGGGGCTCTGACTTTTGCACAGCGCTGTATATTGATAAGCTTGGGAGGAGATATAAACAAGACAGAATGAGAACACACACACACACACACACACACACACGCACACACACACACTGAGCCCAAATAAACACGAGCTTTATAAATGAAAACACAAGGCCTGTGGCATCTCATTGTAGGTTGCCAGATTTTATAAAAAAACACATTGTGTCTCAACAGTAAACAAGAGTTTGTCCTCATTTCTGCACTCAGCTCACTGTACACTAACACACACACTGACACGATGGAGCTGCTCTCAGCATAACAGACACTCACAGACAGAAACAACACCACTGTTCTGTTCTACTCTATTCAAAGTCAAATCAAGTCAAATTTACTTTGTATAGAGCTAAGTTTTAACATGAACTGTAAATCCTCCAGGTGAGCGAGCCAGGGGCGACAGTGGGAAGGAAAAACTCCTTCAGAGCTGAGGAAGAAACCTTGGGAGGAACCAAGGCTCACATGGGGGGACCCATCCTCCTCTGGTCAAACTACCTACAAAATTATTATACTACTAATATTAATAGTAGTAGTAGTAGTAGTAGGAGATTCTATTCTATTCTATTCTATTCTGTTCTATTCTGTGCTGTAATGTGCTACTGTGCTGATTAGAAACACCTACCCAGTGCGTCCACTAACTGGCCACTTTATTAGAAACACCCACCTTGTCCTTCCACTAACTGGCCACTTTATTAGAAACACCCACCTTGTGCTTCCACTCGCTGGCCACTTTATTAGAAACACCCACCTTGTGCTTCCACTAACTGGCCACTTTATTAGAAACACCTGCCCTGTGCTTCCACTAACTGGCCACTTTATTAGAAACACCCACCTTGTGCTTCCACTAACTGGCCACTTTATTAGAAACACCTGCCCTGTACTTCCACTAACTGGCCACTTTATTGGAAGCACCTGTCTTGTGCTTCCACTAACTGGCCACTTTATTAGAAACACCTGCCCTGTGCTTCCACTAACTGGCCACTTTATTAGAAACACCCACCTTGTGCTTCCACTAACTGGCCACTTTATTAGAAACACCCACCTTGCGCTTCCACTAACTGGCCACTTTATTAGAAACACCTGCCCTGTGCTTCCACTAACTGGCCACTTTATTAGAAACACCCACCTTGTCCTTCCACTAACTGGCCACTTTATTGGAAACACCCGCCTTGTGCTTCCACTAACTGGCCACTTTATTAGAAACACCTACCTTGTGCTTCCACTAACTGGCCACTTTATTAGAAACACCCACCTTGCGCTTCCACTAACTGGCCACTTTATTAGAAACACCTACCTTGTGCTTCCACTAACTGGCCACTTTATTAGAAACACCCATCTTGCGCTTCCACTAACTGCCCACTTTATTAGAAACACCTGCCCTGTGCCTCCACTAACTGGCCCCTGTAAAACGTTTGCTCAGTGCTGTATCCTGTGTACAGTGTGTGTACTGTATGTGTACAGTGTGTGAGTTAACGCGCCGTCAGCGCTAAAAGAGGAAACCGATAGCTGAGTGTCTGGGTGTTGGCCTGTCCAGCGTCGGCGGTCAGTGTGAGGTTCAGAAGCTGTGAAACGCTGCTCGTCTTACGCTCTGAGGAAGTCAGGACAGCTTAAACAAGCACAAATTTGAGTGACACGTCCATTTCACATCCTTCCTCCGCTGAGCTGCGCTGTCCGCGGACAGAACACGGACGGTTTCTAATGTCAGACGTTTCCCTCCAACACGCAGCAGGAACAAAGGACCAGTGAAGGAACCCACATCACAGAGAACCATTTGAGTAAAGATAGTGGTTCTGTATAGAGCCACGAACTTTCAAAGAACCATTTGCATGCTTTAAAGGTTCTTTGCATGGTGAAATGGTTCTTCAGATTGATTGAGAACGTGTTGTATGTGGATCTATGTGGAATCTTTTTGAAAACAGTTCTATGTAGCACCGAAAGGGTTCTGCTACTGTTATGATATCCAGCTTGTTGCAGTAGAAGAACCCTTTTTTGTTGCTATGTGAACCATTTACAACATCAATCTGAAGAACCATTTCACCACGCAAAGAACGTTTTATCATGCAGAGGGTCCTTTGAGTGTGCAAGGTTCTATATAGATTGTCTTTACTAAAGAACCACCTTTTTAAAGAGTGTACCGGTCCATACAGTCCATAATATCAGGGTGTGGCGAACTGGGTTCCTTCTGGGCCGCAGCTCTGCAGAGTTCAGTCTTCTGCCTCATTAAACACACCTGGTT